CCTGTTCGACCAGACACTACACTGAGACCCTTCATGGGGAAAGCCACATCCAAACTGCGAAGTGCAAATCGGTCCTCATCCACTGCCTGGTCTTCTGTTTGATCTGCGGGCCATGCCACCGAGGCATTTTCAAAAGCAATATTTTCGGCAGGGACCGTGTTGGTGACCTTATCAGGCGTGTTCATATACTTGTCAATGCGGTTTGCACTGACTTTGGCTTCCAGACCATCCGCTATCAGTTCTGGGATAATAGCCAGCGATTGCTCCAGGGAACCAAAGACTGACATGGCTGTGAAAGCGACTGGCGCCTCCAGGCCACCATTAATCAGAGCATAGACTGTGAGAGACACAGCTGACAACCCAACAGGCCCGAGAATCCAAATTGAGATCAGGCCGATTTCATAGAGGAACGAGGTCCACAAAGCCGTCAGCTCCGTCTCCCGCACCTCCCCAATGCTTTTCTGCCACTGCTCCTCTAGCGCACAGAACTTGATATATCGGATTCCTTGAAGTGCCTCCGTCACGACGGCCATTTTTTGATCTCGGGCCTTCATCAGTCGGTCTTGGGCAATGGAGTACTTCTTGGCGACGTAGATATTTAGTGGTGTGACGAGAACCGAAATACCCAGACCGGCCATTGTGCTGCGCCATCCAAGAATTTTGACCAAGAAGCCACAGCCCAGGAGCACCTTGATTGTGGCGAGCGGGATGAGGTAATTAAAGGTTGCAAAGTCCGCAATCCTCCTAGCGTCCACGGCAACAAGATTGATGACGCTCTGTCGATTTTTCTTCAGAGTCTCTTCGGCGTCGTCTTCTTCTTTCTGCTCTTCCAGTAGTGCCTTGGACAAGGCGTCAGGCTTTCTAGCCGCATTGTTGGATTTCTTGGTATGCTTAGCATCCTTCCTGCGCATAGCCTTGGCAAAGATCGTGGCAGATAGTTCCTCGTAGATGGGAAGACCGAGACGATGGCAAATCACCCAGAACATCCAGGCCTCAACACTGGAAGCCGCCAGCATCAGGATTCCCAAGGCAAGGACCCAAATCCATGATTGGGCAGCAACCCACGACTCCATTCCGCGGGCTTCCATGGAGTTTAAGATACTATACAAAGCGACGTGGGGACCGAAACTCAGGAAGCAGGCTGCCAGCATCCACTTCATCTGCAGACCAATGGACGTGTAATGAGCGAAGATGATCGCTTTCCAAATCTTTCGCGATCCCAGGGCTCGCTCGAAGTTGGCTCGCAGGCTGTGTGCGCGCACGGGCAATGGCAGCTTCGGAAGACTGTCTATATCCAGTGTCCTGTTTTTAACTGCATACTGGAGAAGAGTGCTAGCCCAGGAAAATGTGAATCGGCTGAGTACTGAAACGGTCAATTGCTGGTCTACAAGTTGGCCCTCGAAAAACACGTCGGGTCGGCGGGGCAGGAGAGCGCAGAACAAGCCTCGGAAGACTGCGCAGGCAATCTGCACGATCAGCAGAACAACCCAGGCGCGGATGTGAGGACTATTTTTGTGGTCGTAAGAGGCCAGGGCAATCTGTGCCCCGGGAAATGCTACGGCGATGAAACTGCCCCAAAGTGCATAGCCGGCGTGGTCAAATCGTCGTGTTGGCCGCGGCTCCGTGAAAAAGACGACCGTTTGAATGGAGAGAAAGACCTAGATTTGAATCAGACCTATGTTCACCGAGACAAATTTATTGGACTGAAAGCATACCCAAACACCGAATTGCAGCCATGCGAGCGACGCAAAGTTGGTGCTGTCATTGAACGTTGTGAGAACGGCCAGAGCCAGCGTGACTAGTAGTCCGGAGATCGAGGTTAGGGTGATCAAAACTCGCTGCCATTTATCCGAGAAGGCTCGCAGCGATTCCTCGGTTGCCTCGCCGTCGTCATCACGATAGGCAACCCTTGCCAGTGACTGCTCGTCTTCCCGGGCCGCCTTGCGGGCGACTCGGCTAGTGATACCCTTGATAGCCGGAATACAGATCAGACCGGCTAGCAACACGGCCAGACATCCTATCGCGAAGGACATCTCCTGCGGATCAAGCATTTTCCATGTGGGATGATGGTTCACGAGAGGAAGGGTGGAAGAAGATGGAACGGATTTTGCGATATTCTCAAACCCTAAGTCAACGTGACATACAGGCGGGGAAGATCCATGATTCTTCCAACTAACTAATGCCTCAACTTCTGAGTCAGACTGATTCCTAGGATTAGATCATAGTACGCGGAAAGGCGCCAGATCTACGCCAACCATCGATTTGGACGTAACTCACCTCCAACACTTATACGCTTCAGTCGGTGGCGGACTCTAATTTGAGGCAAATCCCGCGCAAAGCAGTGGAGTCCAGACGCTCGTGCCTCTTGCACTTCTCTAGCCACGTCACAAGCGGCGGAACCCGCCTGAACTACATATATGCGGTCGATAGGACGTGCGCGCACAGCCTCCAATGACCTAATCTCGGTTCAAGACCGCCCTTCACCATATCCGCTCCAAGGCGTCCCGTCACCACACTCCGCTCGATCTCCGGCCTGCCCACTTCTAATATTTCTGCCTTCTTTGGCCTTATTTGGCCTAATCCTGCCAGATTTTTTTGCATAACTCTTAGCTTATTACCGTTTTTTACCCCTGTTTCAGTCGAAACGCTTATGAATATTATTTTTTAGATCCTTCGCATATTTAATAACAAAATATAGTATTATTAATAGGTTTGCACAGTGGGTTTGTCGATAACATTGGTTATTGTTGGACAATAAGGGCGGTGATACCACGAAGCCGTTCGTGGCGCCAACTAGGCTTTGCGTACCCCCTTAATGTCTTATATCGCTTTATCCAACTGGTCGATCCAAGTTGGACAAAGGAAGACTCTTAGGATAGACTACACACTGATGTAGCCTAAACGAGAACAATTCACGCTTTAACTTGTAGAGGAATGATCACGCTGACTAAGGGTTGCTTTTACCCTTTTGTATGCAAGACAAGCAAGAAAGGAACTTAGGCAGTTTCTGTTAGACCACGCAGTAGTCTCTAGGTCAGGATGGGTAAGCGAGGTAGACACCTTCATATGCGTGTAATACAATGTAGTGAATTGTAAGATAAACTGAACGCTGGCCCTTCTCAGGTCCAGCGGGGCTTCACTTAAATACAGACTGGCCCGGCTGCGGGCGGTGAAGCCCAACAACATGATACTGCCATGGCATCTAAGTATGCCTCAGGCCGTAGTTGGTATCGTCAGTCAGTGGTCCTGACAGGTCCCCCCTACTCTTCTAGGGCCAAGGTCCATTTTGGTCACGTGACCACAACAACCATCTTCCTCGCGCCAGGATATATACTGAATGTCCAACTAGGGTTTAGGGTTTCCTAGCCTAAACCTAGTTTGTCCTCTTTTATGTTGAATAATAAGAGGATAGATCCACTTATATATATTGGTCGATATTCCAACAATTATTAATAGATAGCTTTCACTATTTAGTGGCGGTTGAAGATACGGAGCTTACGGAGCTCGCTAACTATAACTTAATCTATAATAAATAGCGCTAGATACGTTAGTAGGCTTATCGGTATTAGGAGCGCGGTATCTAGACCTGTTGGAATATCGACCAATATATATAAGTGGATCTACCCTCTTATTATTCAACATAAAAGAGGACAAAACTAGGTTTAGGCTAGGAAACCCTAAACCCTAGTTGGACATTCATTATATATCCTGGCGCGAGGAAGATGGTCGACAATCACGTGACCAAATGGACCTTGGCCCTAGAAGAGTAGGGGGGACCAGTCTCCTGGGGGGTGGATGGCCCTTCTTTAGGGGTAAATGGCACTCGCGCTAGGGGGTGTGTATAGGCGGTCAATACCGCCTAGATTCTTGGCTCTTTTCTATTGTGATAACACGGCCTTGTATGGGGATACGAACGGTCACGTTACCCTACTTTTTCTGCCATACGGCACCGCCCTTAAGGCATATTTCTATCCTTTCGTACACTTACTTAGCAATACACACCTTTCCACCTCCAGAATCTCACTATGCTGTTCTATCTGCTTCTACCCCGCTTGATCTGCGTTTACTATGCCTTGTCTATGACATCACTGTCTATGATCTGTACGCTTCCATTCAGTTCTATTACTTCTCTTTGAGGTATTTCCTTTGGTCCGAAGCATATGATACCGAGGTATATTTGTCTATAAATACGCGATGAATTACTAGGTAGAAGAATCAGACTTTTCACTCTCTTTGGAAACTGCCTAAGTTCCTTTCTTGCTTGTCTTGCATACAAAAGGGTAAAAGCAACCCTTAGTCAGTGTGATCATTCCTCTACGAGTTAAAGCGTGAATTGTTCTCGTTTAGGCTACATCAGTGTGTAGTCTATCCTAAGAGTCTTCCTTTGTCCAACTTGGACCGACCAGTTGGATAAAGCGATATAAGACACTAAGGGGGTACGCAAAGCCTAGTTGGCGCCACGAACGGCCTCGTGGTATCACCGCCCTTATTGTCCCACAAGACCTAAAAGGCGCTAAACCGGATATAGAAGTACGATATATAGATAAAGGATTTACGGAAGAAGGGGAAGTTAGTCCTTAATAGGAGGGTATTTAAGGGTCGAGATAACTATAATTATTTCGCGAAAAAAGGGCGCTTACGTAAGAGGAGTTCCCTCCAGGTGTGGCCAATTTCCTTCTTCATTGCCCGGAGGATGCCCCGAAAATCTTCGACATTTTGATCAAACACCGCGCGGTTAAAAAGTGCAACTTTACGGGGTCTACGCAGGTTGGCCGCATCATCGCCAGCCAAGCAGCAATGGCACTCAAGCCAGTCTTGCTGGAACTAGGAGGCAAGAATTTCACCATTGTCCTGGAGGATGCCAATCTGGACTTGGCAGCCGTAGAAATTGTCAAAGGTGCATTTTTGAACGTAATTGAAAAATATCTTCACCGTCGGATTGATGTCTTTCAAGCAAAGCTCATATCTATTCATTCATAGAACAGAATGGCCAAATTTGCATGTCCACGGATACGGTCATTACCGCAAGTGCCATTGCTCCTACTCTGGAAGCTAAGATCCTCTCCTTGGTACAAAAGATCGATCGCACGTCTACAGTCATCTCACCGGCTGCCAAACTCAGACTGGAGATGCTGGTGGCGGATGCCCAAACCAAAGGAGCGAAAATTTACACTGCCCCGGTTCCATCGACCCCACTTTAGCCTCAGAACTATCTCCCGACTGTTATTACTGGCCTCACTAAGGAAATGATATTATACGAGACAGAATCATTCGGACCGGTTGTTGGCATCTTAACGGTTGATTCTGGAGCTGAGATCATTGAGATCGCCGAGCAGGCTACTTACGGCCTATCAGCCTCTATCATCTCCAGTAATCACTATCGCGCGATCAAGTTGTCTGAGTCTATCAAGGCAGGAGCTGTTCACATCAACTCAATGACTGTGCATGATGAGCCAACTTTGCCCCACGGAGGATATGGCGAAAGTGGCTGGGGCCGGTTTGGGTCTAAGTGGGGAATAGGGAGTTTGTGCAAACCAAGACTGTCATATTACATCCGTGAAATCACCTATGTTATCTCTGTTCCCGGTGTCTCCCCGGTATTTCCAGATTCCCCGGGATTTGGGTTCCGGCTCCCCGTGCCCCAGTTTTATTTCCAATCGTGGGGGGCTAGACGCTTGCAGAGGCGAAAATGAAACGTATTTCAACCTTGTTTGGTCCTTTTCAACTGTTGAGAAAACATTTCGTATTGGTCACACACCTCTTGTGAATCATTTCTAGCGTTCCATTACATGGCAAAAATGGCATCCCCAGCTCCCCAGCATTTTCCTGACCGCCCTCAATTCTCAGACTTCATGAAGCCATGCCGATTTGAGGGAGAGGTGCAACACTTGGAGGTGCATGGGGATATCCCCACTGACATCGAAGGTACTTTCTACCGTGTCATGCCTGATCCTCAGCTTCCGCCTTTCATTGAAAATGATCCTGTATGTCCTCTAAATTTACTGCTCGCTTTCTATTCGGTACCGCTCAGACACTAATATGATTAGTGGTTCAACGGAGATGGAAATGTCAGCGCATTCCGTATCAAGAATGGGTCTGTGACCTTCCAGCAAAGATTTGTTCGCACCGAGAAGTTCGTCCGCGAGAGGGAAGCCGGTCGCGCGCTCATTGGTAAGATGATTCCGACCGATAGTTCTTGTTGAGCTACTCTAGGAAGCAGGCTAATCAGAACTATTCTCAATTAGGAAAATATCGGAACAAGTTCACTGATGCGGTAGAATTCGCTGTCAGAAGTACTGCCAATACCAATATCGTCAGCTTCAATAACCAGCTCTTAGCTCTCAAGGAGGATTCTCCTCCGTATGCAATGGATCCGGAAACTTTGGAAACAAAGGGTTTATATACCTTTGATGGCCAGCTTCCTAGCGTGACTTTCACTGCCCATCCAAAGACTGATCGAGTGACTGGAGAATTGATTTGTTTTGGTTATGAAGCCAAGGGAGACGGCACTCCCGACATTTGTTATTACACTATTGGTCCCGATGGCAAGTTTACTCAGACTGTATGGCTAGTGAGCCCTGTCTGTGGAATGATACATGACTTCGCAGTGACGGAGAACTGGGTAAGTTTTGCTCCTTGTCACCCGTTTTTGGCATGATGTCACCATCTAACAAAGAGTCTTTGTCTTAGGTTCTTTTCCCTGTGATTCCCCAGCTATGCGACCTTGAAAGGATGAAGCAAGGTGGAGAACATTGGCAATGGAGCCCCGAGACTCCCTTCTATATCGGAGTACTCCCCCGCTACGGTGCCAAGTCTTCAGATGTCAAGGTAAGTAAATGGATTTATGGAATTAATTTTTTCCGCTTTACTAATGTCTCACACGCAAATCATAGTGGTTCACCTATAAGAACTCATTCCCTGGCCATACGGCCAATGCCTATGAGCAGAATGACGGCAATATTGTCTTCGATCTTGGACTGAGTGACAAGAATGTCTTCTATTGGTGGCCCGATGCTCAGGGAAACTCGCCAGATCCTATGACGATTCATAGCCAACTAACACGCTTTACCGTGGACCCAAAAGCTCAAGAAGGAAGCCTTCCTGAACCAAAGGTTCTGCACGATGGCAACTCAGAATTCTATCGCATTGATGACCGGTTTTCTGGAAAGAAATACCGCCATAGCTACTTCGATCTCATGGACCCCAGCTTGGGAACGGACTTCCCAGCAATCGGCCCGGTCATGGGCGGCGGATATCCTCCCTACAACGCGCTGGCACATCACGATGGAAGCACAGGCAAAACAGAAGTCTACTTCCCGGGGCGCACACATCTGGTGCAGGAACCTGTTTTTATCCCGCGGGCCGGCTCTGCAGATGAAGGCGACGGATATTTGCTGGCCTTGGTGAATAATTATCGCACCATGTCTAGTGAATTGCATCTTCTAGACTGCCGAGATTTCAACAAGGCCCGAGCGAGTATCTTACTTCCTGTCAGACTCAGGGCTGGTTTGCACGGAAACTGGGTTGACAATTAAAGGAGGATCAGTACTTTGTTAGCTCTTATAGATAAAGTCAGACTGTTGAACGAGAGGGTCAATCGTAAACCTTGTTACTTCTTGAAGTTCCTCCTTCGGGTCTTATTTAGTCTTCATTCGTGAAAAAATGGGATTATTGTTGCCATTTCGTCTCAGGCACTGAATTCCTAAAAATCTACTGCGATTCACATCATCCTAGTTTTCGCACTTTACCTCAAGATATTCAGGGATCTTCGGGAGTTTCGTCAAGTTTTCTTTTTATCTTTCACAATAATAACTAGTTTCGAAAGAAGATTGTGAAGGGCTTGTCAATTTGTTTTCTGTGCCTGGACGCATATGTCTGCATTGCTGTTGCCGGAGATCTGTCGCCACCGGGAACTACGGGGTCGATCCCGGCCTTTCCCCGCTCCTCCACCCCTCATGGGACTCGTCATTCCGTTCCTATTAAAATATTGAAAACAACCCCCTCACTTCACTTTTTATCCTTCAATTCTATCCTCTAACTCAATCATGTCTCTTACCTGGAAACGTCTAATTCGCTTCGAGGCCATTGATGGCCGTATCCTACGCGGAGAGCCTTTGTTGCCCAAGAACAAAGAGATCGATCTTGGATGTAGATTGAAGCTAAGGTGCTTGTCGGAGATGATATTTACGATGTCACAGGCAAGACCAAATTGTCAGCGGAGACGGCATTGGTCAAGAAAATCCTGTCGCCATTGGCCCAGAGCGATGTGCCTATCTTGCGCTGCGTTGGTCTGAACTATGCCAAACACAGTATGAATAGACTGGATGGACTATTTTCGCTGTTATTCCTTTCCTAAGGAATCTGCTGATGTTTGAAACCCCATTATAGTCAAAGAGTCAGGACGCAAGCCCCCCACGTTCCCCTTCATTTTCTTCAAACCCACCACCACTATTCAAGACCATGGTGAACCTGTGGTGAACCCTAAGATTGCGCAAAACGACCAGGCCGACTACGAAGGAGAGTTGGTTCGTTATACACTATCGATTAGAATTGCTTATATTTTGAAGCTGACCAATCTTGACCTTAGTGTATCGTGATTGGAAAAGATGCCAAGGACGTCCCGGTGGAAGAGGCCCTGAACTATGTCGCCGCTTATACTGCTGGAAATGACGTTTCCTCCAGAAAGCTCCAGCGAGACCCTGCCTACGCTGGTGTTGTTCCGCAGTGGGGCTTCTTTAAGGGCTTCAACACTTTCGCCCCTGTCGGTCCAGTGCTAGTAGCCGCCTCGGAAATAGCAGACCCAAGCCAGCTACAGCTGAAGACCATTATTGATGGTGAAGTCCGTCAAGAAGAGGGTGTCTCCGATCTTCTATTCGATTGCAAGTATCTGATTTCATACTTGTCTCAGGGTACTACCCTGCAGAAAGGCAGTGTCATCATGACTGGGACTCCCGGTGGTAAGTGCGCCAAACCAACTACCTTTGATTTCCTTCACATCTAAGAGACGCGAGAACCAACAAATGATCCGTTTCTAACTTTCTTCTCTAGGTGTCGGTATTGGCTTGACCCCTCCCAAGTACTTGGTTCCTGGAACCCAGATGGATGTGTTTATTTCAAAAATTGGCACCTTGCGAAAACAACGTTGTCTTTGCTTAAATGCTGGACATGCCTCGAACCAGATTATACCATAGGGAAAAACGAAACTCTTTTACGACATTGGAACGGTCATCCATCTGGCGAAGCAATCAGCAACATCTCCTTGCCCACTTCGTCTGGGCATGAAGTACCCAGCTGACCAGAGAACTTGCCAACAATCCAAGACTAACTCGGAGTAGAACAAATTTGTCAAAAGGAATACTTGGAGGAAACTTAAGCCGAGAACATTACTGCAAAACACTCCATGATGTAGAGATGCCAATCTGACTCTAGTATATTGTGAGGGATCGAGGTCGTTCGTCTCTACGATCACAACTCATTAAAACAGCATGTAAGTCGCAATCGTGCCTTAAATTATGCTAGGTCAAAAACATCTTTGCTACAGAAAATGATCAAGATACTTCAGCCAGCTCAGCTCTGAATCTGGACAATCATACCGTCATTAAACGTGGTTTGGCTTGTAACAATCTCTGCCGCCGAGAGATTTTATTTCCATTATCATAGCAGTGGATCGAATTGTCGTCTTTTGGCGGTTGTCTTTATTCTGCTCGAAATACAAACCCCCGCCTTCCCAGGTGACAAGGTCCCAATCGGGTCTAAGGTCTTTCAGTGGATTCGCTAGCCGCTTTGAAGGACCCTTGTTTGATTATATTGAGACACCACTCCATCATGTACTCATAATGTGTGCAATCTTCCGAGTAGCCTTGTTGGGCGGCATCTTTTAATAGGTCACAGTACAGCCGGCCAGTGGTAACACATTCGATTCTAGCGAAAATCACGAGCTCAATTTCGACCACTATTGAGACTAGATATGGAAATCAGCGAAAGAGTCGAAGTTGACATCGACGTTCTGTTTCGCCGTTGAGCCCCAGTTGAAGAACTCTCAATCGAAGGATGGGAAAATCAAAGAAAAGCAAGTGTGACCACTGACTTTGGCCCAAAAATTGAGAATTCTCAGTGGGACAAAGTTTGGCAAGCCACTGTGGGGAATATCCTCCTTGATCTCCGAGGTCTCGGATCTTTCGGGAGAGCCGGGTTACTCCTGTCATTTGATCTCAATCCCCGGAACGTCGCTGAAGGCTTGCTTTATGGTTCTAAGTAAATCCGACAGGACGTCAATGGGGTTATGTATGGACAAATATAAATTCCAGAAACTCCATTACGGCACGCTGCAAATGTCTTCTAGAATCGTCTTGGAGACGGAGTGGATTTTCTAATGGGAGGACCAATGTTTTTGAAGAACCTGGGGAGAACTATAAAGTTATAGCAAGGCGGAAGATGCCCGCAATGAAGGGGGAGTTAAGGATGCATAGCAAATGGTGGTCGAAAACCCATTGAGTTAGCAAGGGTAGGTATGCCTAGGTTAGACCGGGAGAAAAGTCTGTCCACGCTGGGATCATATCCACAAATCATCCAAAAGTTGGGTCAGAGCGTCCTACAAAGGAAGGCAGCGTAATAGGCGTCATGATAGTCGAGCAGTCGGAGCTTTTTCCGCGCTCGATCTTGATTGCTACCGGAAGATCTATCCGTTATACTTTCTCTTTGGACCAAAAAAGCCAAATTCATAGATATCAAGTAGATATATCCTTGTTCTCTGTGGAAAACTTCAAATCTAGGATTGGTGCGCGTGTACCAGTCCTTGCCCCCATTTGCCATTGACGTGGAGGAGGGATCCGCGTCTTCAAATACGAACTTCATGGCCTTCTGACTGGCTCGGCCGTAGCCTTCGTTGATAATGCCGATCATGGTTCCATCATCGGCTTGGATCGAGTATCGTGCATAGAGATGCACCACGTCATCTGAACGCACCGTGTTCCAGTCACCTCCCGAATTTGGTATGATCTTGCCGTTCAACTTAGGCCCGGATATACTGCCGTCGGTAATGGGGATGAATCTTCTGTCTCCGGAGACAGTAGAGCCAATTTCAAGAGGATGATCTAAGTCGACATGTAAAGTGAAGCTGTACTCCAGCTGGGGAGGGACAGGCATGATGGCGGTAGAGCGGGATTGAAAATGCGATGCAGCAAAAGCAGGAGATAAGGGGTAGAGGTTGACTGTTTGTATAGATCATTGGTTAAACTTATACTTACTTATCGTCAACGATGAATAATATATGATTTAAATGACATATGGTTCCTATCTATCCCCGGTTAATCCCGTCCTCCTCCCCTATGTCCGATACCACCCCCGGATCTCAAGCGAGATAAAATCTGAAGTGGGGATTTCATCCAAGTAATATGTTGAGAGAACGAGATATTTCAATTAATTTAACCAGAAGAATTCTACACAATGTTTTACAAATGGTACTTATCATAAAAGCCACAACAAGCCACAACAAGAAATATGGGTTCGAAAGCCCTGTCCCAACCATCGGCTTTAGGTAATAGAGAGACTTTAAGGTTGTTCTCATACCTTGATTGCGGAGAAGATGACACCGAACATTGAAGCGATAGCTTTGTTAAATCGAACGAAATACAAGCAAAAGTCACAAAGTCCGATAACAAAAGCGAAAGGAAGTTTGCCCGGTACATTGTATTGGCATCCCATGTATGTGCTATAAGAGTGCTATACGAAGAGGGCGTCTCCCTAGAAATGACCTCTGAGCTCCTCTCGCTGGAACAGCGGAATTTCGGAAGGATGCAAGAAAATCATATCAAAGACCCGTCGTAGTTCATTCCCGCTCCCGAGGTCCGTAGAAGTAGAGTGGCACAGCCAGGGCCAAGGTAAGCATGTTTAACATGAACATGATCATATAAACCTGAGTGAAGCCCTGAGAAGTGACCCAAGGGACGGCTTCGTACAAGAATATGAAAGCGAGAATGTTCTTAAAGATATTGATGAGAACGAGGCACTGTGCGGCATGCTTCTGATGGCGATGAACCACATAGGTAAGAGCGATGTTTGGTGTGTAGACTTCTCCAAATGAGACTGCTTTTTGTTAGTACCTACAAGATGAAGTGCAAAAAGAATGATGAAGATAAGCTACTTACCCATTGCGAATCCAAAGGCTATCGCAACCCAACTGAGCTTCTCTTGACACGCGAAGGCAAGTACTATACACCCTGCTGGGGCAATGAACATTCCAGGAAGCAACGAGACGAGGCGTTGCTCAGGTCTAGTCACGCAGCGGTTTTTTCTAATAATATATCCGGTGATTTTATCGGAAAGATACCCGCCACCGAAGCAGGCTACCAAAAAGCCTATTATCGCAGCTATCTCCATAAGCCCTATATCCGTGGATGAGAAATCATATGGTGGAGGTGTAAGGAGCGTGGACATGGTAAATCTGAAAGGTAAGTGGTGTAAGTATTTTGACCGAAGAATGACTAAACAAGAAACGTACATCATGATAATCTGCGGGCTCAGGGAGCATCCGTAAGCATAAATAGTCCACAGGACGGATGGATGGCGCAATAATCGAAGGGGCTCGACAAAGGTTCTCAAGAGACTTATGCTGGTATCGTATCGAACCAAGTTAAGGCGTTCCTTGAGTGGCAAGAGATGAATAGTGTACCCCAAGTTGCCTCCAGAAACGTTTTCGACAAAACTGGAACTCAATTTTCCAGCCAACTCCTCATCGTCGATGGCGTGTTGAAGTTCCATCTGGGTGTCAAGTTCGCAATCGGGTCGGCGAAAGTTGCTTTCTGGGCAAAAGAAGAATAGGAGGACCAGGTTGGCAGCGGCCAAGCCGACACAGAGCCAAAAGTAACTCCTCCAAGTTTGTGCAGTATACTGAACCATAAAGCCTGCAACGAGAGGACCAACAGCAGTCCCACAGGATATCAAGATAACATATCTAAAGAAGGGATGGCCAGATCAGATACCATGTCAAGTGGAATACTATTCAAGCCGCACTCACATGGACATCATGGTGGCCCGTTCATGGAGGAAGAAGAGATCTGCGACTATCTCGGGAACAATGCTCTGAAAGAGATTCATCAGCAAAGATAGATCGTGTAGGTAGGAGAGCTGGGTGGAGGGAGGGAAAAGGGAGAGAGGTAAAGGTGCGCTTTTTAGCCATTAGTTTTTTACCTCCCCAGCGGCAGCAGCAAAACCAAGTACGATTCGGGCAGCGAGCAAGCTATCGAAGCCTTTGGCGAGCGCACACCAAATCAGAGCGCCCATCTGCAAGGTCATTGCTACCAAAAGTGATGTTCTCTTGCCAAATTTCAAGGCGATTGGAACCCAGAACATGTTGCCAATACCAAGGAGAAGAAAGTTGAACTGATGGGATCATCTTAGCCGGTCGCGTTCCGAGGACCACAAGGCACAAATAGTTGTTAGAGGATCCATACCGTCAACAGTTGAGTCACTTGGCCCTGGGACCTATGAAAGTCCTGCATAAAGTTCCCTATAGCCACAGAAGGACCAGCGCCTGCCATGTTGGACACAAAGTTGGTTAGAGATGTCGTGAGCACGACCGATATTTTTAACCAACGTGGCCAACGGAGGGGGTCATGTTTGTGGTCCGTTGGGGGAGGAATGAGATGCACTCCTGTGGGATGCATTTTGATGATTCTTTAGATATGGAGACTTCGGTGTGACAGAACGAGAGATTGTTTGACTGTTTTAAATAGGAGTGAACGGACCGACTAGGGCTACGTAGTTAAGGGGCCCCGGTTTTCTCCACTTCAGCTCGGCTACAATATCCCGGAGCTGGGACAGTATCCCGGGGCCCCGGTGGCTATGATTACGAAGACACGCTTGCAAATTGGGGCTTTCAATAGGACCGGGGTACCGAGGATGGGTGGCCACCCCAAACTCTTGATGACGGATTACAAGCCACAGCCCCAATGGGTATGGGAAAACGCCATGGTTCACTTTCGATTTCTTGATTTTCTGATATTACGTTTGTAGCAATGGAGTCTAGGTCGATACGCGAGAATCGGTTGATTGGGCGTACCGGATCAGCTATCACTCTCCTGTAGCGAATTGGAGATGAACGACCAATAAAGTCACTAGCTTGTTATACTTCCAACTGAATGATCAACAGATGTAATATCTTCCTTATATTCTTTGACAATAGAATAAATCATGTGCGGGCGTGTATGTCTTTATAACTAATCTTGAGCAGCATTGGGTTTACTTGGAAGGGGTCACATGACTGCCCGGTCCTTCCCCGGTTGTTCCCCGGTTGCTCCCCGGTTGTCCCCCTCTTCCGAGGAAGTCGACGCTCGCTTTTCGCTTTTTGATTCCCTATGGCAGCGACGTTTGATAACAGATATGGAGCCCCCATAATAGACGGAATTTGCTCACGATAATGATGACAATCCGATTACACCTAGCTGCGCTATTAAACGCCGACGAAGACGAATTTCATTCGCTTGTGGTGCATGTCGCACTCGACAATCTAAGGTATTCTACAGGTGCTTGGCCGCTTGGCATCAGCGAAAGCAGTGTGATGGTTCTCGCCCCACGTATGCCGCGTGCAATCATTTACAATTGGAATGCACCTACACGTCATCCAGCGCATCGACCAACGTAATTGTCAAAACGGAGTATGTTTCGGTTCCCTGATCAACTCGTTCGCAGCACTCCAAAGCATTTTACCACCGGTGTAGTGATGAAGAATAAATAAAAAAAGCCATCTGCAGAAGTTATAGTCCCGGATTAATACCCTGGAAGAGAGTTTGCGCACCGTCAGGGCTCATATCTCTGACTTGTCTCATCAAGTTTCTTCTTATATATATACAATTAATTAATAAAAATAAGTCAATAAAAATTAAAAATTAATTATTTAGAAATATGTATTTACTTATTTATGCATTTTGTTCATGACGTTGCCGATAAGAATAGGCTCGGTACACCGCTAGAATCAGCCCAAACAGAAGCCTTATCTAATATCGCAGACATTGAAGATTCGGTGGATGCGAGGGGCACTGTGGTTTTTGCAGATGAAGAAAACTGCGGAATTTTTGGTATGACTGCATTCTTTGCTGGGGAAGAACAACCCTCCAATGCAGCATGCAAAATAGGAGAGGCTCATACTAAGTCTCAAATGTTTCACAGGCCCCTCATCAAACATCATCTTTCTACGTCATTTGTCTCGTGCGGTATCATATAACGCCAGCCCCCTAATGGTGGCTAGTTGCTAGTCTTTCACTGAGAAGATCTCGTTGGACGGCGACTTCGTGAATGTATCTCGAATTCCGTCAACAGGATTCGGTGGTATTGACCTTCCATCGCGAAAACAAAAGGAGACTGACATCTTCGTACTTCCACCCCCCACGAAACCTCTCAGCTTGTTCATAGATACTTCACCGATCCCGGCCTTCTTTCCCCCTACATCTACCCCCTATCCCATGAGGGTAATTGTAATGCGGCGCATTACATTTTAGTCAGCATCAATTTATATGGTGTTAGGGTTTCCTAACCGACCGCATTACATTTACATTCCAGAGTTATTACGTTTACATTTTCATGTAGCGATTTCAGTCAAATTTTAGCCAGATTTAATTCAATTTTCAATTTATAATTTCGCCAAATTTCAACCGCATCTAGTAGTAGACATTGACATGGCCCATGGCCTCTTGGCGGCCCACGATACTAAGAGACATAATTTATGCAATTTATACAGTATTTTAGGTATTCGAGCGGTAAGATTCTAGATAATAAAGTCTTTAATTAAGCTTGAAAGATAAGATAAAAAAGAGCCAAAACAATGTATTATTTACCGTTGGAATTTGGACCAATGCTACATTAGGTGAAGGTATCCTCTTATTCAACATAAGAAGAAGAAGAAAAGAAAGAGATGCGAACATGATTTACCCCTCCAAACCGCTTACCCCTCTTTACCCCACCAGATCGATGACATATCCCGCATCACGCCATCAGTTCTATCACATTTCCTTCACTGATTCTATTCTGTTTATCTGATATAAAGCATGTGACTTTGACCACTTTCTGTCTATAAATACACGCGAGACACTAAGTAGAAATGATAGACCTTTCACTTTCTTCAAATATTCTACTATCCCTTTCTATCTGCTTAGAAAGACCTTCTTCTTAGTCCTTTGTTTGAGGATTGTGGATTGTGCTCATTTAGAGTGCATAAGCCCTTTGCACTCTATCTTATTCTTTTCTTTCTTTATCCGATCAAGCCTTCCTTGGTCGGATAGACATACGGTCCGTGGTGGGGAAGCATCTACAAAAGCGTACCCCGCGCCACGAAAAGCTTCGTGGTATCCGCCTCCCTACACGGCCAACAGTAGGGATGCCCTTTCCCTGGCTATCTCAGCCCGGTACTATAAATCTTTAAGCTATTGGCGAGCTAGGAAGTTATCCAGATTGTCGTATGAAGCTTTAGGTCTGCCGCCTTTGAAGTTTGCCAACATGCGTATTTCTTAGATAGGCATAAGTCTGCCAAGCTCGCATTAGTATTCAATACGAGGGAATGATCCAGTTAGTTAGCGATCGCTACGGGAAGACAGGAGAGAAAGCGAAATAACGAAGAAAAATTGACACAAATGGCGGTATTATTTTAAAGTCTCAATGGACCTTGACCACCAACTTTTTCAGTCCCCAACGGCTCTGCTGATCGACTATTGACCCACTCGCGAACCGTGCACCAAGGTTGGCTCGGTCACTCCGCATTTGCGGATGTGCCGCAGCTTATGTGGGTCCATAAGCTGAAGGGCTGAAGGGCTGAAGGGCTGAAGGGCTGAAGGGGTGCGAGGGTGCGATGCCCGGCTTCTGCCGCTGGTAGGGAGTACTCGCCGAATTGATTTTCTTCAGGAGCCTTGGCGAGGCGTGAGTCAAGCCTTGGAAATTGGCTGTTAGCTTCCTTTCAGTCCGTCAATTTCGATTAGATTATTTAGCTTCACTACCAAGCCTGAAGCCATACCCGGTAATACAGTCTTGGCACGAACCGAGCCCCAGTCAGTGCATAGCCTCCTCTCACGGACAGCTACCTAACGAGGCTACGCCATGATTTTGAGAAATAAGCAATGATCCTTGAACGAGAAGACGTCTCAGGGTTGAAGATTAGCTATACTATTGGGGGCTCAGGTAGAACGGCACGTCGAAATCCACACGGGGTCCTTACGGAATACGAGATAGGGCAGTGCACTACTCACAGACACCCTATACAGCTAGATTTGAAGGGGCATCAGTCTTGACGATCGAATTGGGGCGCCTTATTTATAACCCACTCGTGATGAAAGTGTAGACCCCCCCAATCTCGCTATCGAATGAAAACCTCGCCCCCTCGCTTTGCCCAGTGTTTTCGCGACCTACTCTTTGTTACAATCCTGTGACCAGAAAAAACACTCATTATGGCCGAGCATAACCAGACCAATAACCAGAACAGCGGAGGTCAGTCCCCACAATTCTCCGATTCTTCGAATGACTATCTCTAACTTAAACCTAGGTCTCACTCCTTTCGCAGCACCTCTGTACTCGGGCACCAGCCCCGTGAGCCCCATCACCGGCTCAAAAAGCATCCAGCCAGCTCCCTCCGAAGCCACAGGCGCTCACTCCGAGAAGCCTCCGCTGCACGGCGACTATAATGCACCCACTCCCGTCCACATCGACGAATCTGCCAGGGTATACCATGGACAGCCGCACCCCGATCATATCAACGGACCCGGTGTTGGGCAGTGTCTGGTGAACTCGCCGTCGGATGTCAAAACGTACCCTAATCAAATAACTCCCCAGATTCAAGAACAACCGGGCGCGTACTATACACCACATGGCCAGGCGACTGGCTATACCACAGCTACACCTTTACACGCACTTTTATCAGTACCGTGTCCGGTGGATTGTCCATGCTGCGGAAAACGCGAAATGACGCGAATTGAAGCGGTTAGTGGAACGACGACACAGTGAGTTGAAGCCCTGATTTTAATACAAAACCAATCGACTGGTCAATTGCGCCGGTCGATCAAATGTGATGTACGATACTAACGTCTTAATAGTGGTTGGGCTGCTGTCCTCTGTTGCTGCTGCTGTCTCGGATGCATTCCTTACTTGATGTCCTCGCTTAAGGATGTTAACCATTACTGCGGCCAGTGTAGTGCTAAACTAGCGACTTGGCACAACAGCAGGCGTGTCGAGGTGCTACAGACCGGACAAAGGAAATAATTGCGTCGTTAGGTGTTGGGGCTGGGGTTGTTTATTTCGCCTGTCTTTGCCTTTCTGCCACGGTTCTTTGAAGTGATACCACTTGGTTTTATGATCACGGTATAATCTTTCTGCTCGGAGTGGGTTGTGCCCACGCCTAATTCCAACTTTTTTTTACATAGTCGTACTTGCACTATAAAGTGTCCGTGAAGCAAAGCAACGTCTCTTTTTCCTGAATTTCTCATCCCTACCCTTCATTTTCATCATTTCAGGGCCACAGCGTGCGCAGTGCACGTCACAAGTATCATTGTTGTAGTCTATA